GTCCTCGACGCCGGCCACGCCACCACGACGGCGCCTCAACAATCGCCGGCTTGCTGCAAGAGGAGCCGCACCAGAATCAGGAGCACCGCGGAGTACGACGAGGAGACCCGCCTCGGCGAGGGCGGCTTCGGCTGCGTCCTCCTGGCGCGCCACCGCGACACCCGCAGGATCGTCGCCATCAAGTACCTCTACTGGCCGGAGGGGTCCCAGCAGCCCCCCAACGCCGCTGAGCTTCTGCGGGAGGCCCGATTCCTCGAGGCCTGCGACGGGAACCCCTACGTCGTCGGCTTCGAGGGCCTAGTGCGTGACCCCGACAACGGCGCCTTCGGCCTCGTCATGGAGTACGTCGGCGCGCCGAGCCTCCACAAGTTCCTGCGGAACAGGCGCAGCGGCCAGCCGCTCCCGGAGTCCGCCGTGCGCGCCATCATGTGGAAGCTCCTCACCGGTGCCAGGACGATGCACGACCGCCACGTCGTCCACCGCGACATCAAGCCCGGCAACATCCTTGTCGGCCAAGACGGCGAACTCGTCAAAATCTGCGACTTTGGGCTGGCGATCTCCATGTCCGAGCTGCCGCCGTACAACCAGGCCGGCACGCCGTTCTACGTGGCGCCCGAGGTGCTCCTGGGGAAGCGGGACTACAACGCGCTCGTGGACACGTGGTCTATCGGCTGCGTCATGGCCGAGATGCTCACCGGTAAGACGCTGTTCCTCGGCGATGATGATGACGACGCCAAAGACAATGAGATCATCCAGCTCTGGAGCATCTTCCGCTTGCTCGGGACGCCAGACGAGAGGACGTGGCCGGGGTTCACCTCTCTGCCGCTCACCGAAAAGACGCTGAAGCTGCTGCCGCGGGGGCACAAGCACAACAAGCTGCGCGATCTGTTCCCTGAAGAGAAGCTGTCCGAGCATGGATTCCAGGTGTTGCAAGGCCTCCTCACGTGCAACCCCGATAAGCGACTGACGGCGGCCGCCGCGCTCAAGCACCGATGGTTTGCTGCTCCTCGTCCCTCGGCCGCCGCTCCAAAGGTCGACGCTTTGTCGCTCCCGAAAAAGAAGGCGCCAAGGATCAAGTTCATCCCGCCGGCCATGCCAGAGAAGAATCTACTCAAAATTCCACTCGCCGTGTGGAACGCAGCTCATCGAGTCTAGTTAAACACTCCAGATTTAGCTGTTCTTGGATGAGCCATCTATGTAAATGCTAGGATAAACTCTCGTGATGTAACTGTGCTTGGAAGTTGATGAGCCATCTATGAGCCATCAAGTAGAACTTGATTGCCGGATCGCCCATTAGTGTTGGCCTGCTTTTCTGAATTGTATGTGCCATTATGCAGATATGTGTAAATTGTGATGTAGTGTTGAGAGATCCATCAGAGTGCTGTTGTTTACAGATGCTCAGCTTGTCATCAAGTTATAGTGCTCAATTTGTGTGGTTTTTTCTTTCCAAAATCCTGAGTGATGATAAATATGTAGTACAAATGTTCTAAGCAACACAAATCCTGAGTGGTGGATGAATTGATGGTTAAAATGTCCTGCTAGCTGGTACAGATTTCATGAGTACTTATAAGTTGAATAATGGTGCCAGTACAGCAATTGGACTTGTTCATGTACTTCGGTGTATGTGTTTTTCGAAATTCCACCGTCTTTTTAATGCAAATTTCTATACTGTGAAATATAAAAATTTCTATACTGTGAAATATAACCACCGTTCGGAAATAAGTAGCGTGGTTTTATTCTAATATTTGAACTAAACCACACCACTTATATTCGAAC